ATAACTATTATGTCATCTGCTGGCCCCAACTTATGCATGTCTTTATTCACATGTATTTTGCACAATTAGAAAAATTAATAAATTATTCCTCCTATTGCCCTTTACTTAAAACAAACATAGATGTTCCCCCACTCTCTTTGATTTCTTTGTTTAGGTTAGGCCTGGCACAAAGGAAATACTATTTAGAGTTCACAGTGTATTTTAATTTCACAGTATATTTGAATTTCAGATCTTGAGTTTCACATCAGGAAGCTAAATTCAGCCAAACTTTAATGCGCAAATACCTCTGATCAAGGCATAAAATCGTACTGTAACACTCGTACCTTTCACCACAGCTACCTTTCTCTAAGACTTGAGAAAACATGTGTTCACTGACTTCTTTTTCCTCTGCTGTCAACACGGTCAAGGTACGTGTATAATCTTTTTTTTTTTTTTTTTTTTTGAGAGATTTTCACTGTAGGGCACATGCGCTCGCCAGACAGACAGAGAGAGACATAGAGACAGAAAGTGAGAAATCACCCCCCAGAGGGGATGGTCACGCCACAATCCCTTCTCCTCCATTCTCCTCTCGGGATCTTGGGCACGCACGCACACGCGCCCGGCATGAGTTTTAAGCCACCGGGTCCGGGACATGAACCGCGGTCGACTACGTGGGAGTCCAGCGACATAGCCATTACGCTAACTGCTGGTTCCCAAGGTACGTGTATAATCTTTAGTAGCTTCGTGGTGATTGTCCTGTTGATGAATTACCAGCAGCAGGACTTCATGGACTACGTCTCTGTGCCTTGCTGGCTCCTGCCCTCGCACCACCACCACCCAACCAGAATGTGCTCAGAGAGTGTGTTTTCAGACTAGACTAAGGAAAAACAGGATTAGGAAGATAAAGCGACTAGTCATATTTGGAGTCAGGAGTGTGGATATTGGCAGATTATCCATCGTATTGCTTTCTTCTGCTCATTTATTGACTCCAGATATGTACTGGGAGCCTCAGAGGGAGAGTTAGAAACGGCACAGCAGTCCACACTATGTCAACAATAATTATTTCATGGGCCATGAACCAGAAGTTGCTCATAGGCAATGACCTTATTTTAGGCCTCTTTAGTGTCTCAACAACATAGAACTGGGCTGAGGACGGAAAATCCAGGCAGGCGTTGGGCTGGAGTCATGGTGGTAGAAAGAGACTTACATCGAACCTGCTGTGAGCCAGCCACTGGGTTGGGCACTTTTAATCGTCATCTCATGCAACATCCCTAATGCCCCTGGTAGGCATAATCGTTGTTACTTTATGGAATTGAAAACAAAATCTCAGAGAGGCTGACTGCCTAACAGTCCACAGCAGGTAATTGGGGAATTCAGAATTCTGATCTAGATCTGTCTGGCTCTGAAGAGAACTCTCCTTCACTTGTAATATGTAGGGTATATTAATGGGGGTCAATATGTATTGTTTAGATAAATTTTATACTGAGTTCAATAAAGGTGACAATCATTTTGTAATGTTCAGAATAATAGGTGATATTCCAATTGGGTCTTTTCTGCTTAAGAATAAATATATTAGAATAGAAAACCCAAAAGATGTGAGTTCATGCTGTCATTCATACTTTCGCATGATTGATCTACTGACATTTGAATAAATAGTGTTAATCTTTGACTCCCTAGAAGCTCATAGTCCTGGGAACTGTAAGCATGGGGTAAGTGGTATCTCAAGGGACTGCTAAAACAATAATTCAGTCTGATGGAGCAGACACAGGTTGCGGAGCCAGTTCCAGGGCTTTGCTGTTAAGGCAGCCAGATCCCACATGGTTAACACTATGGTTCTAGTCCTGGTCCCAGCAGCTTGAGAAGCAACTCCAAACGCATGCATGGGTGTGCTCCAAATCCCAACAGAATGGAAAAATGGAAGAGAAGGGATGTGGTATGACCAGTCCCCATGGGGGTGTTTTTTTCCCAACATCCCCCAACCCATCTCTTTCTCTCTCTGCCAAGCACATATGCCCTTTAGCAAAAAATTTTTAAGAAGACACAGGTTGTATAGATCTCATACAGAAAGCCACAAATTCTCTGAATACCGTCAATTCTTCCTCCAAATTCTCTCTGAAATCTTTCTTTCTTCCTCCTTCCCACGAATGGCCTCTATTTACAGAGCCCTGCCCTATCTCTCCTAGCTGGTCACCAGGCCTCAGTGTCTAAACAGTGCTTTTCATCAAGATCTTTCAAACACCCCACACTCACCACAACACATCGCCTACAGCTTCTCAGTGACTCTATGTCGTAAAGGCAAAGTTCTTCCCAGTCTAGCCCATCAGGACTGTCCCACGTTATAGGGGAAAGCATGCGGCCCCAGGCCTCCTACCTCGCATAGGCTAAGACTCCCTCCTCACCCACCTGGACTGCCTGGTCAACACCCACATCCACACTTCAGGACTGAGATCTTTCATCTCAGGCCTTCTTCTATGCACTGAATTCCCTCCAGCTTAGGCCTTGACTGTAATTTCTTCATATGCCCCACCTCCATGGACCTGAACCCCTCAAGGGCTGAAACTGTCCAATTTATCTTTTTGACTTTCCTACTGACCCAGATGGGGTTATAGTGACATAAAATAGATACCCATAAATGCCAAATTAAAATCACAATAATGTCTATGCGGGGCCTTAAAGATCAAATCTGTTGGCTAAGCCAGGCAGAAAGAGAATGTTAGACAGAAGGAAGAGCATATGCAAAATGCCTAGATGTGAACCAGCAAGACAAGGTCAAGAGAAGCAGGTGGGCTGGGTATGGCATAGCCTCAGGGGAGAAGCAGCCGTGTCCAGAGTTGGTTGGCTGTGAAAGTTTCATACTGGGGCAACAGGATACATCTTAGCACCTAAGATAGGCTCTCTGATTGAGGGCCTCATCATTGTTCCACTGCCTGGAACATGAGGATGACAACTGAGCTCCAGTTCAGGTTGTGGTCACTGGTGTGGCCCAACTGGGTGTTGGGACCAGGATGAGATCTGGTTGGTCAGTACCTGGCCCTGCTGATTATCTAATTTTTTAAATATGGCCGTACCCCCTCACAGAGCTATTAGAATTAAACAAGAAACTTGGAGAGCTAACATGCTCCATAGTTTTTGACCAGTTGATTCTGTCTTTTTGGGGACCTAATTAGGCAGCAAGATTACCTGGTGGCTTTGCTGAATTTTTGTATTCCAACTTGACCTTTTTATTTGTGTCATTATTGTATTTAATTTATTTATTTTAGAAACAGACATTTTTTAACAGCTATGCATTTCCTGTCCTTTGTTTTCTGATTGTGATGCACTTCCTCACTCTGTGGGTGAACATTTCAGATGTGTGGTCACAGTGCCCAACGTGTAGTCAAATTTACTGCGGTGCCTTTGGCCTCTAACTCACCATCTCAACCAACCCCAACAGCCCAAAGCGATTGTATCCAGTGGCTTTTTCCATGTAGTGGGAAATAAATCTTGAATGTGGCAGTTTAGATCTGCCAGGAAATTTATCCTGGGATGTTGGCCCACATCCACTGGCATTTTTCAAAAGGAACCCGACGTGTCTACATTAGCACTCGCAGGACCACTCAAGGTGCCCATTGGCATGCGTCAGCTGCTTTGTTCTTGGCCTGAGCTTGGAAGTGAAAGACGTGAGAGGCAGGACTACAGACCCCGCATCTCTAAGGGTACAGTGCCTCCCTTTCCCCAAAGACCTCACCCCATCACGTGCTGGGAGTATTAGTCAAAATATGATTGCCATGCCATGCCATCAGTAAAGGGTGACACCCACTTTGATTATCAAGTTCAAAGAGAAAGAGATATTCTCTTTCTTTCTTTTTTTCATTCTTTGAACATTATTCCCCACCCTATAGATAATGTATCTATTACTTGGTGTGTTTGAGTAGAGACAGAGGTCACAGTTACAGAAGAAAGCCTGCTGCTAGTGCAGCTTCTCTTCCCAACGTGGTGTTTGATTTAGCTGCATAAACAAATGACGGCCTTCTCCAGAGGTCGTGAACACAGCTGCTTGTGCTGCAGAGAGCTGCTTCCACCAGGGTGAACTCTGTTTCCTGGTGAGTGCCAGCAAAACAACCAACAAGGACCTGTAGGACTTGCTGGACTTCAGATGGTGATTGTCCTACCACCTGGGGTGTGCTACAGCAGCTGTGGACTAAAGGGGGCCAGGGAAACCTCCTTTCTGGCTTTATTGCCCTTGGCCATCATGACTTCATCATTATATGGGTTCTCATGAGTTGTGTGTGTGTGTGTGTGTGTGTGTGTGTGTGTTTTAATAATTAATTTATTTATTTGTTTATTTTTATTTGACTGGAGAGAGGAACAGAGAGAGGAAAGTGGGAAAGCAAGATGCCATATCTGGAACTTGAACCACCGTTGGCCATGTGGGAATCTAGCACCCTTAACTACCACGTCACCTGCCTGCCCCCTCACTGAGTTTTTGAACTCTGGCTGCAACATTTGCCCAGAATCTGCCTCTGAGACCATATGACACTGACTTTCTATTCACCAAAAATACCCTTTGAATTATTTTCCTGATAGAGGTGCTAGGTTTGTGTTGAGCTCTTTATACTGGCTGCTCTGTACCTACCACATTCTTCCCTAACATCCATGATTTCACAGTTGCTCACTTTATAGAACCAGATAGTTTTTATGTAGATTCCATGGCCTCAGCCTCATTAGAACTAACTGTTAGCATTTACAAGCTAAGCAGACCAGACCGAATATATCAAAATGTAGGAATTCTAATGAGGGTTTAACTCATCTCTGCCTCCCAAACACTCATGCACATACTTGTGCCGGTACACACGTCCACCAGCCAAGATATCAGGGAGTAGAGTAAGTTCCAAGAGGGAATGAGGTCACTTGCTCTTAAGGCGGGTGGCCTCCTCTGTATCATGAGTCATACCTCAGAGGATGACCCAAGAACTGCTGACTCATGCCCAAAGCAGTTTCCACATGCTCTGCTTGGACCTCTGGGAGATTTAGTGAGGGTGACACTCCGTATTAGCTTTATAAACTCTCCTCTCGGCAGAGTTGTCCAACTTTGACTTAATGGCCTGGGAGCAGTATGGAGCCCCAGTGGGTTAGGCCCCATTTCTCCTACCACCCCTAGTCCTCTGGTGGGACTAGGGTGATGGCTTCTGTCCATAGCATTGTTCTAACCAGATGAGATGCTCTGGGTCAGCTCAGGAGGGCTGTGTTTCCCGACAGAGAATGGAAAACAAATAGCCGCCTTCCTCCCCTGATACGCAGCTGTCATGAACGCAAGGTAACTTGGTTGGGGCTTAAAAGTCACTTTACTATTGATTTTAAAGATATTTTGTTAAAACATTAGGAAAGATAATATTTATTGAGCACTCGTTGTTCATGCGACAGTTTAGTACATTGCAATGCTTGAAAACACAGACTCTGAGGCAGTTCGCTTGATCTCATGGCTCATACACGGACTCGGAGTGTTCTCACTAACAGCTTGTTGGGAGGATGAAATGGGTCAATACAGGTAATGCCCTGGGACCTGTTTCAGGTGTTTGGTAAGCCGTCGGTAAGCATTAGCTTGTGTTCTTACAGTGAAGCATTTGTTGAACCCTGCTCATGTGATGCTCTAAACAAACTTTGGGGAGGGGGGTGTATCCCCATGCGATTGCTAGAGAAGCAGAAGCCACAGCGTTGGGAGAGGCAGGCACAGTGGCGTGCAGGACTGATGGACTCCTCAACTCCACTCCACCAGTCTGCGCTGGGGAAGACAAAGCAGCTTTGAAAACGGGGCAGCTGTTTCAGGGCAGAAAGGTTTGAGCACCTTTTCAGTTTTGTTTTTTCCAGAGAGTATCAGGGTACCAATCTGGGGTGGGGGGGGACACATCAGGAAGCATGAGTATGACTCAGCTGCCTGACAGCCAGGATGGAACCCACGTCATTGCAGGAGTCAACAATGCCATTGAAAACAGCAGCTTATTCCAATGCAGATTTTCCTGTAAGACATGAAAGGACAGTTCAAAGAGAATAGGCTAGAAAGCTCTGAAAGTTATCTTATTAAAATGTATTTGTTTTCATTAGTTTCTTTTTTTTTTTTTTGGAGAGGTTTTCGCTACAGGGCGCATACGCTCGCCAGACAGACAGAGAGAGACAGAGAGACAGAAAGCGAGAAATCACCCCCCAGGGGGGATGGTCACGCCGCAATCCCTTCTCCTCCATTCTCCTCTCGGGATCTTGGGCACGCACGCACACGCGCCTGGCGTGAGTTCTAAGCCACCTGGTCCGGGATGCGAACTGCGGTCGACTACATGGGAGTCCAGCGACATAGCCATTACGCTAACTGCTGGTTCCCTTTTTTGTCTTGTTTTAAGAGTTACACTCTTGTTCGTATTATGGCAGAAAAATTCACTTTTCACCAATTTCTCCAAGTTTATCCTGTGACTCTGGGACACATAGGACTATGTTCAAAATACGTAGTAGTAAATCTGTTCTCCTTACAGCATCCAAGACTTCTAAATTTAAATGAATTCAACTCAGTAAACACTTGTTGCGTTTCTATTGTGAGAAAACACTATTTCAGAGACCGCAATGAGCAAGACATGGCTCTAACCTCAGGGAACTTCCTGGCTGTAGATCTGAGTCGACCAACACAGTAACCAGCAGCCACGTGTGGCTATTGGAATGAATTAAAATTTAGAACTCTGTGTTCTATTGGGTCGTCGGAAAAGTCATGACATACATATGACATACATATGACATGTCATATGACATACATATGTCATGACTTTTCCGACAACCCAATAGCTGGATCACTACGTTTCAAATTCTCAATAGCCATATGGGGTTACGAGCTGTCATGTTGGACAAGGCAGACAGAGAATAATCCATCATTCCAGAAAGTTCTGCTGGACAGTGCTGCACTAGGGCAAGAGTGCTTCTTGCTGAAGAATGTCATGCCTTGACTTTGTGGCTGGAATGGGGCTTACTCTCAGAGGAAGATAATGGGTGCAGAACCTGCTAGTGACCTACGCTGACCTTGGACAAAGCCCTTTACTCCTCTAACCCCAGTTTCTTCACGGTAAAGTAAGAGCACCAGCCAAGACTTCCAAGACTGTCCAAATGCCCCGTGCTGCCGAGTGCCTTGGTAAAACAGTCTGTGTGTGCATGTGTCGTAACATGAAATGCGAACAAGGACTTTCGGATTCACTCTTGTTGTCAGTACTAAAATTCTATACATGTAGTTCTTAACAAACCGATAAAGCAAGATTATTCTATTACTCTTCTTTGTAGAACATTGAGATCACCTGAAAGCAAACTGAAATATGTATTTCTAAAAATGTACCATAGTGGGGCCAGCAGGTGGCATGGTACCTGAGGCGCTGAACTCCCATGTGGCAAACCGCAATTTGAGTTCCCGACCTGGAGGCTTGCTTTCTCACTTTCCCTCTATCTCTCTCTGGACAAATTAAAATAATAATAATAATAATTCTTCAAAAGAGAAAAGAAAGGTGCACCATAGCAAATTAGTTCTGAAGTCTCCTTGCCCAAGCAGCAAATTAAATTCTGTCTACATGGTAGTATCGACAGACACCAAATACCAGGCCCTTGTTCTCAAATAGATGATGAGTCTACATGTTAGATTCCACCAAAACAAACAAACAAACAAGCAAAAACTATAAAACATTGGATCATCAGATAAGTCATGACTTATTTTTGCATAGAAAAACATGAATGACTTTTCCGATGACCCAATAGCAAACCTTACATTATTTTTGTCCAGAAGAAATGAACATTTATTGAGATTCTTTGGTACTTAAGTCCTTTCCCTTACTTAAGGACTGGCCAGTGTTGAGCTAGGCAATGACTATTGGCAAGAGAATAGCTGACTAAAGAAAATCTTTTATCTCCCCTAACTATGATGTATGACCACACTTACTGGCATTTCTTGAAGAGTTACCAATCCCATTTCCTTTTAAAATAATTATCTTCTTAGTATGGTCATTTAAGCCTTGGCCCTATAGTTTTTCTCATGTACCTGAGTTCTTTTTGCCAACATCAGCTAGAAACCTAACAGTTTCCTTTGTTTTCTTTCTTTCTATGGAGAAAAATAAGAATATTCCATGAGACCTGCTTTCAGGGTGTGGCACCTTAGGAGAGGTCTCTAGTTCAGAAGGCCAAGGACAGTGGGTTTGCTACATCCCATTGTTTAAATACAGCCCCTGAACACTCTGAAGCTCCGGGATAGGATTCAGCAGTGGAGGGTTTACCATGCATCAGTTGGGTTTGCCTGCTTTTGACCAGTGCAGTGGAGCTTGGTTCTTCTCCGTCAGGTCCTTACAATCTTCCCACCTTTCTCGCTTCATTATTCTCAAGGTAATAGTTGGAGGAGGAAATGAGCTGAGATTTGATACCTGCTCTACCACCTTGAGGATGCTCCTCAGCCTCTTTGAGCCTAAATTTTCTGGTCTCAAAGAAAAGTGAGAATGGTAATAATCTCTGCTCTGCCGACTTTATGAGAAGTTATGACCATGTGGAAGTCTCTGCGAGCCACACACAGCTAGGCCTCTGGAACCAGCTATTCCTGTGGCTGCTGATATGGCAGGAAGAACTCTGGGTCTGGCATTGCAAAGTGGGAGGGAATCCCGCTCTGCAGCTTTCTGTGTGACCTCAGGCAGGTCTAGTTCAGCTTCCTCCTCAGTACAGTGAGAATTCCAGGTAACTCACAGGCTCTTTGTGGGAATTCATTTGTTCCTAGCTTTCTGTGTTACATCAGCAACCCAGGCTTTCTGCTTTCCCTGGTGCCCCTTCTGGAAACCTTATCTGATCCTATTTGTCATTACCTCTGCCTAAAATCCTCCAGTAGCTCCTGATGACATTTTAGGATTTGCCCAGAATGCTCCTGGCTTTAGCGCTGAAAGCCCTGTTTCCTGGGAGACCTCTTAGATAACGGGTCACACTACAAGTCTAGCAGGACTGACAGTCTTGTCCCCACCCTCCTGTGCAGTGCTCAGCCCTCCCCACTCACCTCTGTCAACTTGTGTTCTGCTCTGTGCCTTATGACCCCTGGAGAGACTTTTATAAAATGTTGGTGCCCTGGCCCTGCCTCCCAAGATTCTGATTCCATTGTTTGGGGTGGGGTCTGGCACAAGTGTCTCTCTAGAGCTTTCCAGTAATGTTAAAGCACAGCCACTGGTGGGAACCATTGATCTATGTTTGCAGGTCCCCAGACACCCCTGCACTTTCCCCTGGCCCTGTTCTTACCTTTCCCCCACTTTCTTTGCTTCTGTTAATTCTTGCTCATCCTCCTCCTAAAGAGTCTCTTCCTCCAGGCAGCTTTCCCTGACCCCTCCAGGAAGACTTACTTGGTTGTTCCCTTCTCTGAGCTCCTGGAATAAACTGGGTTTACTTTCAACAAAACCTGGGCATTCCACCTTATGGTTGCTGGTTGACTCCAACCCTTTCCCTCATTATGTCTTAAGTTTTCTTCAGAAAGAGATCTTATCTTTCCTTCTTGAGTCCCTGGAGTTGAGCAGGCTGTGGTGCAATAGAATCTCAATAAGTATTTGGTGAACAAAGAAATCAAGACCAGGCCTTCCTACCTCTCATGAGTTACATTCTGGAAAAGAAATATCGACACCCGTAGTGCATTACAAGAGGTTGAGGGGAAAACAGATTCAAATACAGCATAAATGCTTTTATAAACCTAAACAAGTGGACAACCCCCTCACATTCGAATGAGAAATTCTTAGTTTTACTCTTTGGCAAATAATGTGTTCTTTCTCTTCCAGGAGGAGAAAAGAGATGTATTAGAGAAATTCCTCCTCTATCAACATTACTTGTCATAGAACTGTAACTGGAAATGGTTTCTTGACTAAATAATTTTGGCTGTCTATTCCTTTCTGTCTTCCTCCTCCTCTCCCCCTCCTTCCCTCAGCTGGCCAGCCTGTGTGTTCAGAGAGAGCCAGGAAGGCTCTACTCCAGGAATGTCTCTCTCCCCCTAAAACGCTTTTATCACCAGGCTTTCAGATCTTCAAAGCAGCCTGTATCCAGTATGACCCCACTCCCTCACCTCTCCATGCTGGGGAGTGAGAGCCGTGAATATCTTTGTCATTTTGAGGACTTGCATATTTGGGCAGCCTCGGACAGCTGAAAAGTACAGTCCTCACTAACTCTGTAGGGATGAGGGGCAGGTCAGCATTCACAAGCCCCTGTGAGCCCACATCTAGGCAGATTGAAAAATTAACACCAGACTCTGAGTTACACAAACATGACGTTCATAGGTCTCCCTGCATTTAACCCATCCCTTGGGGCAGCAGCCCTTATCTAATGCCTGTGGGTTTTGTGTGTGTGTGTGTGTGTGTGTGTGTGTGTGTATGTATGTGTGTGTATGTATGTGTATATGTGTGTGTGCACGTGTGCAGTTGAATCTTTAGGGTTGGTCAGATGCTCAACCTTTGTGATTATTTGCAGTGCTTGATCCTGGATAAGTTTGAAAGCTACGACGATGAAATTCAGCTCACCCAAAGAGCCCTGTCTCTGCTGGAAGAAAACAAGTTCTGGGCTGGGGTGGTATTCCCTGACATGTATTCCTGGACCAGCTCCCTGCCACCTCACGTGAAGTATAAGATCCGGATGGACATAGATGTAGTGGAGAAAACCAATAAGATCAAAGACAGGTGATGTTTTAGGCAGGGCTCATTGGTTCCTCCAAAGTCAGTGGGAAATTATCTTTGATATAGGGGTATTGATTGGGACTGTACTCAGCATCAAAATCAATAAAACTGAGTTAAATAAGAAGAAATAAGGCATTTTGCAGAACTCAAAGTTTTGTCCTTGACTGTGAGCAATTACAGAGTCACATTGCAGCTAGTATTCGTAACAGATTTAAACCGTGAACTAGAAAATGGAAGCGAATAGGTTGGGAACCTTCAGGAGCGAGGTTTCAGGAGAGTGAGTTCTGAGTCACCTCATGTATGTGAAGTAGAAGTCCATTCCCACTCATATCCTTGGTCCCTCTGTGTCTTCTTAGGTACTGGGATATCCCCCCCCTTGGGGCGGCAGCCCTTATCTAATGCCTGTGGGTTTTGTGTGTGTGTGTGTGTGTGTGTGTGTGTGTGTGTGTGTATGTATGTGTGTGTATGTATGTGTATATGTGTGTGTGCACGTGTGCAGTTGAATCTTTAGGGTTGGTCAGATGCTCAACCTTTGTGATTATTTGCAGTGCTTGATCCTGGATAAGTTTGAAAGCTACGACGATGAAATTCAGCTCACCCAAAGAGCCCTGTCTCTGCTGGAAGAAAACAAGTTCTGGGCTGGGGTGGTATTCCCTGACATGTATTCCTGGACCAGCTCCCTGCCACCTCACGTGAAGTATAAGATCCGGATGGACATAGATGTAGTGGAGAAAACCAATAAGATCAAAGACAGGTGATGTTTTAGGCAGGGCTCATTGGTTCCTCCAAAGTCAGTGGGAAATTATCTTTGATATAGGGGTATTGATTGGGACTGTACTCAGCATCAAAATCAATAAAACTGAGTTAAATAAGAAGAAATAAGGCATTTTGCAGAACTCAAAGTTTTGTCCTTGACTGTGAGCAATTACAGAGTCACATTGCAGCTAGTATTCGTAACAGATTTAAACCGTGAACTAGAAAATGGAAGCGAATAGGTTGGGAACCTTCAGGAGCGAGGTTTCAGGAGAGTGAGTTCTGAGTCACCTCATGTATGTGAAGTAGAAGTCCATTCCCACTCATATCCTTGGTCCCTCTGTGTCTTCTTAGGTACTGGGATTCTGGCCCCCGCGCTGATCCTATAGAAGATTTCCGATACATCTGGGGAGGGTTTGCCTATCTACAGGACATGGTTGAACAGGGCATCACTAGGAGTCAGGCCCAGGTTGGATCTCCCGTTGGAATTTATCTCCAGCAGATGCCTTACCCCTGCTTCGTGGACGACTCGTGAGTCTGAGGCTTCTGATCCTCCTCCCTGACAAACGAACTGATTAAGATGCTGGGGTGGGGTGGGAGTGCCCACAAGGCTTAAATGTCTTTGGAGAGAACCCTGGGGGCTGGGGCCAGAGTAGAGAGAAGAAACACACTTCTCTCATACTCTGACCAAGGAGAGTGCTTCTCCCACACTCCAGGCAGGGGCAGTGGTGGGGGAGAGAAAAGAATTTGTGTTGCAGGTCAAAAAGGAAAGGTGGAAATTGAAGCACAAGTAGTGAGGTGGGGGCAGGAGACGAGAGCTACTTAGAGTTCCCACTACGCAGTATGTTTGGTATGCGGGAGGGTTCTGGTCAAAGTGCTTGCCCAATGATTGCCAAATCAGCACCTTTGGACTCTGCATCGCAAGTAAGTCTGGTTCTTAGGAGCCTCCGAGTAATGCAGCTCCCTCCCTAATTAACATTCCCATGATGTATGCTTCATGAAAAGGTGCAAGAATTCGTTGGATGAGCTCAGGCTCTCCCTCCCCAGTCATTGCTATCCCCAGGCCTGTACATCAGTTAGCCATGGTAGGCTAGGCAATGAACCCACTGTTTTGCTAAACATGAATTTGGTAGTGTAAAGGGGGGGGGGTGCTGAGAGGCTCATTTGCTGTCACAGATGGGATAAGAAACACCCCTAGGAGAGCAGTAGGAACCTATCATTGGCTTAGGAATTCAACTCCTAACAAAGCAAAAAAACAAGACCGAAAAGTTCACTATAGTGTACGTGTGTGTCTGTGGGGGTTCTGGGAGGACAGAAACATGCACATCTGGAGAAAAGAAGAGTCACATTGCCAGCTGGAGAGACAGTAGACTTAAGCCCAGGACAGACACAGGAAACCCCTTCTCAACACATTTGTCAAGTTCTCTGGTCTTGGCTCTACAGAAGACTGAAGAGATCGCAGTGGCTGTTCTCCAGTTAGTTTGGGTTTGGACAATAGACAGAGATGGGAAGTAGAACCAGGGCAAAAACCCATATGTACTTTCAGATTCCAAATGGGAGTGGTGGGCAAGGAAGTGGGGAGGTATGGGGAGGCATCAGTGCCTGGGGTCATTTGGTGTTCAAGGATCCTCTGGTGGCCAGTCCCAAAAGTGTGTGCATTATGAACCTACGGTTCTCCCGCTAGGGCCATCTCGAGTGAAACCCTCCCTCGCTGGAATTAGGCCTTTCCTATAACAACACCCAGTGGTTTTCGAAAGATAATGATCCTAAGGGCTTTACTACCACATCAAGTAGAGGGAAAATGTGAAAAGTTCTAATTTAGTATCAGATTGCCCCTGCTTGCTGGAGTGGACGTATAGGGACATATTCTGCCTGTGATGGCTGGTGGAGTCAGTGCTGTTGGCTCACTGATTTTTTGCGGGATTGTTAGCCTGCTGAATGTGCCACACTGATTAATTATTTTGTGCCACTTCCTGCATAACTAGGGTTTGACCGTCCAGAACAGATAGTACTGAGTTGGCTGACCCCTTTGGTGAACCCAATTTCTGGTCTCATCACACCAGTTCCCTTTGTTTGTACTCTACCTTCTTGGGCTTCAGTGTCAGTTCGCATGCATCTATCTATTCCAATCACACCCCACATTATCAAGCTTACAGTCTTTTCCCATAGGGCCTGACAGGGAAGGCCTATACAATGTGACGGACATAGATAAGATTTTGTTTACATTTTACTTATAGAGCATTCATGTGAACTAACCAGAAAGCCACCATCTTGCTCCTGGGAAAAGGTGAAATGTCTTAGATTCCTACTAACTGAATCCCCCATGGAGATTTTTCTGTATTTCTTTCCCTCCATCTGTGCTTTGTTCTCAACAAATTCCTTCAATAAACATTTACTGTCCTCCACCAGCTACAGGGTACTCTACTGTTCTGTTTTTCTCCTCTTTCTTTAGTTTTATGATCATCCTGAACCGTTGTTTCCCTATCTTCATGGTGTTGGCGTGGATCTACTCTGTCTCCATGACTGTAAAGAGCATCGTTTTGGAGAAGGAATTAAGACTAAAGGAGACTCTGAAAAATCAAGGTGTCTCCAATGCAGTGATTTGGTGTACCTGGTTCCTGGACAGCTTCTCTATCATGTTAATGAGCATCTTACTCCTAACTCTATTTATCACGGTAAGCTGGATGGAGACAGCCCAGAAAAATCTCAAGTACTTTGGTTTCTCCCACCTTTCCTCCTGTTAATGAAGTTGTGCCTGCATTGGTCATCTGGCCACCAACAGGAGCATGATATTAGCTTCTCAGCCCTATCAGCTAAGGTGGAAGGCATTCAGTGAGACTTCCCCAAGTCTGCCACCATACTGTAGCATCCTTGCCTTCTCCCACTTCCTGCCCAGGAAGCCACAGTCTGCAGATTCCCCAGCCCCACTCCATGACTATCAGGAGAAGCTGCAGTAGCAGAGTCCAGCACAAAGTGATTGTGTATTTAAAGCGATCCTCACTGAAATGAGATCAGGTAGTGTTTTCCTGGGGTTACCATTTCCAACAACTGGCTGGAAGTGGAATGTGAAGAACCTTTTCAGTGGCATTAGGAGCAGAGACCTGGGCTATATATTAATAACATCATGGTTGCACCATCCATGGCTTCCCCCACAAAAATGCTGTTGCCTTCAAAGCCTCCAAAACCTATATGTTTTCCAGGGTGGAATTTGGAGTCACTCCTCTCTCAGTGATAAGGAGTATTATAGTTGCAGACAGCATGAACTGGTCCATCCTCTGCAAACTTGCAAGCTAGACTTGGAAATTAGACCTTATTTCACAATACACTGCTCTTTCACTTTTGGGTTCTCCACAGAAGATGATCTTTTTCTAAAAATTTATTTATTCATTTAACTCCATTTGTTATTATTATTATTATTTAATTTGACCAGACAGAGAGAGAGAGAGACAGGGAAAGCAAGAAAGCAAGCCTCCAGGTCTGGGACTCAAACCGTAGTCAGCCATGTGGGAATCCAGCACCTTTAACCACCATGCCACCTGCCAGCCCCGAAGATGATCTTTTGTACTTATTGACTGATAAAGAGCTAAGTTCAGATCGTTTGTGATATTTTATTGGATGTAATTTGATATCATCTTTTCTTTTATTGCCAATGGTAGGTACACTTGCCAGAGACAAAGCACTCCCCAGTGGGGAATTGTCATGCCACAATCTTGTTGCTGCATTCCTCCATCCCATCAAGACTTGGGGGTATGCATGCACACAGGCCTGGTGTGATTTTTTTTCTAGCCACCAGGGCTAAGATTTGAACTGTGTTGGTCATGTGGGATCCAGATCCCTATTCATAGCACTTAACCACTGTGCTTCAGGGCTGGCCCTGATGTAATTTTTGGATTTCAAGCTTTGCAAGCTCCTGATGTAGCTTCATCTAACTTGTTCTACCTCTTTGCCATCATTATATTAAGTGCCCCTCTGTACCAGGCAATATATGTTGTGGCCCACAGACAGTGAGCGCCTCCTATCCCATCATGGGTCATACTCAATTGCGTTCTTACCCGATTCAAGAATGTTCCATCACAAATCCTGTTCAACCAACACAAATCCAGTTAAACCAAATCCTGCTTCTTCTCTTTGCAGTGAATTTACCAGATCTAGGGTGTTTTGAGTGTTGCCCTGTGTATCAGGGAGCTGCAGCCTCCACCGAACTGGTGCTAGAGTTCCGTCAGAACAACCTGAGTAGAGGCCCTTCTATTCAAACAACTTGACCCCACCCAGATGTGGTTTTACATTTTCAGAATACCAGAGCTCTACTGAGATGAAGGGAGAAACTGAGCCTCTTGTCTTCTGGGAATCTCTTTTTCCTTCCCATCCTTTAGTCTGCTCTTTTCCAAGTCATTTGGATTAATTGCTGATATTTTCACCCATATAAGTGGCAAATCTCAGAATAAAAATACATATGATCGAGTCGGCAGGCCAGGACCCAGGAAAAATAGTAAAGTTTATTTGAAGGGAATTCACCGTCCTTCCTTTGTTCCTATCTGTTCAAGATACTTAGTGTCCTCAGACTTAAAGGAATTAAAATGTGTAAACATCTGACTTGCCATGGCCTGGAGACTTGGCCCAACTTGTTGCTGATAAGTGTCATTGAGGTTTGTAGTTCCAAGAATGGACCATTAAGACTTCAAAGGTTTTAAGACGTGGACTAAAGAATGTTACCAAGAGTTTGTTACATGGAGGGGTGTCACCTTGTGGGAACCAGAACATTGTTTCAGTGATGATGAGGGAACTTCCCGCACCAGAACCGGATTTTCCTTTCAATGACTCTCCTACCTTTCCCTTGTCCCTTCCTCCCCACCTCAACTATGCAGAGGAGACACTGGAAGCTTCCATTGTTGTCTAAGCTCTTAGGGACAAAAAAGAAAAGTGATCATTAGAGGAAACCAAGGCCAGTAAAACTGTGGGGCCTGGGGGTCAACTTACATTTCTAGCACAAGTCAGTGCGGAATTACACAGCCCAAAAAGTTTGTAGGACTTTACTTTGAGCTAAGTTAATTTTATTCTTAAGAAGAGTAACAACTCTCATAAGGTTCTTCCAGCCGAAAGACCACATATTCAGCTATAGACTTGCTTTTATGGAGTTGCCTGAGATGGAGGAAAAAGTGTGGGGCTTCCCAGGGTGATCAGAAGCTCTCTAATTTTTTTTAAAAATTAATTTTATTACAGAGTGTGCGTGCTTACCAAAGAGAGCTAGAGAGAGAGGGGGAAAGTGAGAAAGCATTCCCAATGAGGCATGGTCATGCTGCAATCCCTTCTTCTTCATTTCTCTTTCCC